AAACATTAATTTTATTATATTCAAATTATTAATATTTATTATATTCCTCAATAGCTACAAAGGATACAAATCCAACTTGTGTACACAAAGGGCTTCATGAAAGAAGTCCCGTTTGGCATATAGCTGGGCAGATGCCGTATACACAGGGCACTAGTGCCCCTAGATGGTGCTGATGAGTATAGGAATTTCCTATACTCATCAGTGCCATCTAGGGGCTCTAGTGCCCTGTGACTGGCATCTGCCCAAACTTTTATAAATTAAGCCCAAAATGACTTTGCAAATCTAGATATTAGCTTATACACGTGGCAGTTACATCACCATTGTGCTGTACATTGGCTGTGCAGAGAGAAGAGCTGTAGTGGGGACCCAGCGGGCCACGTCCCCTACAGGAAAATACAGGAGGGGGCGGAGACAAGACCAGTTGCCCTGCACAAGAAGAGAGAGCAGCAGTGAGTGGTCTTTATTACAGGAAGCTCCTGCACAGGGGGTTTTACTCTAGATAGGCAATATTTCCTCACCCTAGTGTTTAGCTTTAGATATTAAGTTAAATGCTTATAGTTCATAGTGTTCTTTTGTCTTACATTTGTGCTGCAGAATAGGAAATGGTTAGAACCCCTTTTGCTGTCAGTGTCTCATTAAAGGGCTTTTTTTTAAGTGAAAGTAAAGTGGGCGAGCACTTGCCAAAATTTGCAGTTATGGATAGCAAAGCAAGTATGCACATTATCGCACACTGACTACGAGTGTGCGCTGACCAATCTATGCTGTTTGTCGCTGCTCCGCCCAAACACAACCCCCTCCCCAACGCCATTTTCTTTGATGCCACTTCTGGTGCCCCGCCGTCCTCTTTGGCCATTGCAACTGGCGTTACATCATCCCCAGCACCTGCCTCCATTGATTGTTTGATATACTGTACATGCACCCGTGTGCACACAGATGTTTGATATAACTGTATTACAACCTGGGCCAGATTTACTCTTTCTGCTGCCCCAAGGCCAGGTCCTCAATGCGCCCCTCTACCTGCCAAACCCCATCCCCATGGAGAATGGCAGACCTGCAGGCTGCATACAAGTGATCTAGTCGACAACGCCGAGATCACTTGTATAAAACAAGCGGCAGCTTCCTTGCTGTACATTTAGCTCTTCTTGCCCAAAGCAGGGCTAAATGTAAAAAACAACTACCCACCCGGCGCTTGGAACTGCATGTCCCGAGCATCGGGAAATAGGAATTCCACACCCCTGATGCCCCTCTACTCCCTGCTGCCCCAAGGCTGGGCCTTGGTTGGCCTTGTGGGAAATCCGGCCCTGATTACAACCATGTCCAGTGGTCAGGTTATGTTGGAGGTATGGTGAGCTAGGCCTCTGTAAAGAGTAATAGATTCCTATTATAATCCATTGGTTGGTGATGTTGGGGTTGCAATGTTCTGTGTCTGTATTGAGTGCAAGTGAATTATATTATGACCCAGACCATTTATTCGGCTATGTTGAAAGTTTACAGTAGAGATCTGTATAAACATAGACCTCTACACCTGTATAATGATCATGTTCAGTAGTTGGGTTTTGTTGAGGAGGATATAGAGTTTTATGTATTTAAAGGAGCTGACATTAGGATTGGCATTAGGGTACCATTGGGAGCCACATTTGAGGCCCCCTGTATCATGAACGTTGACCACCACTGGTCGAGACGCTATTTAGCAAATGGTAGCAGCAATGGGAAGCTGCAGACCTGAAGTAATGTTTGCACATAATGTCTGTACATGGTGTAATAGAATTGTATTATAATCATGCTAAATGTTCGGGTCATGGCGTGAGCTGTCTGTACAGAGGGTAATAGAGTTTAATTACTGTGGTGTCCAAGGGGTGTACTGTTCTGTCTGCAGCCTCTCCTCAGGTGTAATCTAGCCTTACCACTTACAAAGCATACAGTATGTCCATCCTGCTCACGCCATAATGATCCGTGGCTTTGTGACCCCCATGCCTCGACCTTAACTGTCTGTTTCTAATCTTCCGCACGCTCGGATTAACGGTGGGCGAAATTAAAGGAGCACTTCCAGGGATATAGCTCTGAATTAGAAGTGGTTTGTCTGCAGCTTGATTCCAGTTCCTCAGTGCAGGACTGCTGACGAGAATCTTAAGCTTCAGATAGAAAATGTTCTGCTTGATTAAACCAAGTCAAGAAATGAACTGCCTGGAGAAAACGCAATTGATAATCCGCACAACACTTTGGGGGACAGAGAAGTTACAAGAGACTCTATTCTATGTTACTAAAGCCCAGTTACTGTCGTGGCACTGGGACCAGCATAATCCCATGTTACCACAGACAGAAGAGAGATACATTAAACAGGCAGTGTGTTTCGGGGATTAGAGTCAAAATGGTGATAAGCCATAGAGCCAGAATAGTGTTGTGCCTTCATTTTAGTTGTGGTCATTATGTGCTGTGTTTTTTAAAGAAGAACTCCAGGCAAACAAAAAAAAGTTCCCTTA